CAGATACCGATTATGAAGCTTGGAAATCAGCGTACCATCCCATCCAACAAGTTTTGTTGTTATCCTTTTGTTGTGTTTCTATCTCATTTTGGGTGTCTGTTTTCATTGCATCGTGCATGTGATTGAAATTGGATGACAAACAAGCCACTGGTTTTAAGCATGAACCAAATTGAACGTTGCTCGTTGTTCTTTCTTTTGAATGAGCAACCATCACACATACAGCTGCACAATAATATTAGTAAAAAAAACACAAAACAAACAAACAAAACAAATAAACAAAAATCAATGTGATTTGTCAATGCAGGATGAATGAGCTTCAAATCCTGTTTCTGATTGGCTGGTACTGGCTCTTTGACATCCGTAAATCCAGACAGACAGCCGTAGGGCCTAGATCCAGACAGAATTTTATGTTCATGTAAGAGATTTTCCAATTTTTGTTTTTCTGGCACGTTTGAAAATCTCCAAGGCAACACTGAAGATGATGACTTGATTTGAGCATTTGTTATTACCGACTAATAAGTGTTAGAAAATATAATGAATGCTTTGTTGGTGTACTTTTTCGACGGCCTTGAGCACTAAAGGTGTTTGGTGTCATCTCATCCCATGATGCAATGCGGAAGTCAAAAAAAAATCATTGATGAGGTGGCAAACATTTTCCAAACTTTCTCGGTCATTTACCCTGAAAAACACCAGCCCTTTCCCCCAACCAGCTGAACTTTTCGTCTCCTTAACTTTTTTTCCCCGCTCTTTCTTTTCAGATAGCAGATCCCCATCAGGGTCTTGGCGGGTTTTCATTGGCCCCGTCAGAACTGGGGAAAGAGGCCGACTTTGGCTCACGGGGCCTCCGTATCGTCCAAACTGAGACCCAATTGAGATGTTACACGATTAGGAAACTGTTTGCCTGCGGACCCCCTTACTCCACCACCACCACCTCTTGACAAAAGGGGGGGGGCCGACAAGAAACTGAGTCGCATGCGTTGCCTCAGTCAGCCCGGGGGTGATTCCCGGCACACAAGCTGATCATGTTCGGGGTAAACATACTTCTCTTTGGAATGATTTAAATCTCCGGACAGGGTATATAAGCTCAAAGGGGGTTCAAAGACCCAACCTTTCATTCTGTGGGTCCGACAACGGGACTGACATTTTTCGCGCGACTTTTTTTTTTTTTTTTTTGCGTGGCATATTCCTCAGAGGTGTCACAAAATATACCGGTACAAAAGTTCGCAAACCCATTTTTACGAGATATTAACCTCCATTTTCCGATCAGTGTTACTGATTGCAGTGTGATCGTTTTATAGAGTTAAACCCGCTTGATCCTTTTTTTTTTCTCGGTTGCCTTTGAATCCCAACCGACGGTGAATTGAACCCAAGAATAAAGTGGCCGATTTATCCACGGACAGTGTATACCGCAAGTGGAGAAAAAGGTCGGTCTGCGTACCGCGACCGACACCGCCCAGGCCGTGCACTGGGCGTTCCGCAGGGGAGCGAGGGGGCAAAGAGGGCCAACGACCCGTTGTCCTCTTGGAGCTCGTCCAATAAACTCCGTTTGCAAACTTCCTGTAATTTTGTTTTCTTTATTGCCACTGGAGTAGATACACAGACCAATCTGGGCTCACGAACCTACTCAGCAGCTTTTCAATTTTGTACGTGTGCGACTCATAAAAGACACAGGAGAGTCAGCGTGGTTCACACTCCCCATTCAGTAAGATTTATGAGCAGACTGCCCTGAATCCAGCTTAATTTGACAAACAGTGAGACACCTGTTCACTGAACCTTTACAGAGACTATTAGAGGCGATCCACGTTCCGTCTGCTGCAGAGTTCAAAAAGGTATTTAAATACGTTCAAATAAAAAACATCAATCCAGTGTTTCCTTGTCTTCAAGCAACTGATTGGAAAATTTTTATCGAGCTCAAGATTGCTGGAATTATAGCTTAAGTGTCCAAAAAACAAAGACAAAAGGTGTGCACGTATTTTCCGAAGCACATGGAAGAAATAACATAGGCTGAACATATATACTCTCTTATAAAACTGGAATCCCTCTTATGGCTCCTGAAGTCTATAAAAACTGTGGAAGTTTATAGCTGTAAAATACTCTCACGGGACGCCAACTTTACTCCAAAAAAGTTCAAAAATCACCAGACAAGAGCTGCCCTTGTCATCGCTCCTCAGTAGAGTAGTTCTGCTTTGACCAGAAGCCCATTTTGTTCGCATCCTGGAACTTGGCAAAACTCAGACTCAGAATCTAATGTTCCAGGGCAAGGCCCTGGGAGAAGCATATATTCCGGAGGAGGGACCCTTCCAAGGGCGTCGCCAGGATATTTTCGGGGAGGGGGCAACCACTAATTCCAGGGATTAACAATTAACAGTGGGAGGGATCTCTTTTTTTTTTCAAGTACATTGTTTCCATTCCCTTTTAAAAAATTTCTTTCTTTCTCCAACCACCCCCATTTTTTTAATCTTCCATTTTCCCCCGGGATGGGGGGGGGGCGCCCATTGGCCCTTCACATACACGTAGGGACTGTAGAATAGACCCACAAAACGTACACGTCTCTTCAGTATGTTTGCAATTTTAGTGGGATTCTCAGACACCCGCTGTGAGGTGAAACCACGGCACTGGTGTCAATCGGGGATTATTTTTATGCGGGCAACAACCGCGTGACAGAGCCAGTAAAAAATTAATTCGGAAATGCCATTAAAAAAAAAATCTCTAAACTGGGTCAACGCATAACATTATCGGTTTCTTCGGGTGAATGCTCGATGACTTGCCGGCAAGGCATGGTGGACTTCGCTTCCTGGAGATAAGTTCTCGTCAGCCGTGCGTCACACGGTACACAAGGGTGCCTTGATATGTGCCTTTCGTTTCCATAATACTACTGAGAGAAACATCCGTAAATGGGTCTGTCACCTCTCCGACCCCCACTAACTGGGCGGTGCTCGTTTACTTCTACCCTTAGGACTTGTATTGCAACTATACACTATTGGTGAATATACACTTTTTAATAGTCAGACTTGCTCATGTCGTTTCCGTCAGCATCAGGCCTAACAAGAACAGATTCTTTGCGGCAATCAGGGGTGAACGTCCGGGGTTGCCCACTGCCACCAAGTTCCTCGGGCAACGAGAATAATACATCGGCGTTGTTAATGGCCCACAAAAGACCATTACTGCAAATCAAAGCAAAACCCTAAACACAATTCGAGCAATTCGAAGGCTAACAAATCAACCTGACCCGGACCACCGCCGGGTTAATTTTTAATCCTTTAGCGACGTGCAACGGGGTTGGAACCAACAAAGATCTCTGGGCCTTTTTCTCCCATGCTTTTGAAAGATTTGTCCCAACAGCTAGACTTGGGAATCTAGTTTCATATCACCGGTTTTAAAGGCCGAGAAAGAAAAGTAACATTTTGATGAATGTTACCCACTGTCACTTTCTTTCCAAACACGCGTGCGTCACCCTGGATTACTGGAATAATGCGTCACTGCATACCCGAAATAGACTCAACAGGAGGTTGTCCCGACTATATTTTAGTAAGAAAATACGAGCCCCAACGCAACACAAGTCCCAGTGGTTTTCAGGAAGAGTGTTGCTGGTTCTGTCTACAGGTTTAATAAGGTTCACCTCCTCCAGATCAGTTCGGCACGACCTCAGTCAGATTTATATTTGCTCTACTTTTGACATCTGTTTCATATCCGTTACATTTTCGAGTAAATCTTACCCTATCCGAATAGTGCAAGATAGACGCCCTCTTGGAAAAAGATTGTTTCTAATTTTGCGAAAAGGAACAGTTGCGTGGCTTGGCCATTTTCCTTTCGTCAGTCAGCGGTGTGGAACGACCAGAGTTGTAATTCGTGCGGCACCACTTGCATTCCAAGAAAACAAAATTATCAGGAATGAAGGAAACGCAAAAATAAGATTCAGCAAGGGCCAGGTTGATCCTATGGTAGAGTTCCTAGTCCACCCTAGCACGACCCACACCGCAAAAACCACAGGAATTCTGCATAACAGCAACAAGCTCGTCAATGTTTACAAGGAAATGACCACTTGAAAACACACCAACCTCAGACGTTTCGGCAGAATACTTTATTTCCAGATACCACCCCCCCCCAATTCTTTAGTATTGTCTTATGATTTAAAAAATGTGGAAGATCTTGACATATAGTTTACACTGAACACAACACTTGGAAATTACTAGAACGTATACAAAAATATTTAGGAAATGGACGCGTTAAATATATCAACCTGTACAGTAGGCAAAAACTTTTATGTGCACAAAAGTAGAGACTTTAAATAAACAAGCACATTTATCACTAACCTCAGCGAATAGAAATGACATTAAACACCCTGCCGTTTTTTTATTACACTAAAAGAAAACAGCCACAGTCCATCTTAAATTGGCAAGTATTTCGTTACTTGGTGCATTTTTGTTCTTCAAAATCTGATACCATTAAGTACGAGCACAAGTAAACTTACAAAAAAAATTGAAAATTTAAGAATAAAAATGTGTTCACAAGTTTAAGTCTTCAGAAGAGACAGCTTGCAGATTACTAAAGTGCAAAAGAAGCAAGCAATTCAAGAGAATAAAAGTGGATTATTCAAGAAGATATCTGCTTTTAGTTTTAATGGCATCATTTGGATAACACCATGAACCCACAATCCTTTGCGTTGTGGGTATCAAGTGACAAATGGCAAGCAAATTTTAGTGACTGTCACTTCAACAAGCATCAATTTCTTACATAAATCTAGCCTCAATCTGACACTAAAATAGGAAAGCACCATAGTGTAAAGAAAGTATTTATATAAAAGAATTCACTTAAAATGATAAGCCTTTTGCGAGTTAGATTTGAATAAAATCTGGCGTACTGAGATTTTTGAATTCACGTAAACATAACAGTTAGAGTTCTGCATACAGTACTTAGATACTGTTGCTATACCTCGTAATTCGGGGCAAGCTTTTGCTTAGTATATCAGAGATGCCTTGCACCAATACACTGTTTTCAATGGACAAGAAGGGCACAAAGGAACCAGTCCATTCCAGAGATGGTGGTCACTAAGCAAAAGTTTGCCCGAATCACGAGGTTAAAGCAACAGTGACTTTATTCTGGGGAATTCAAATTGCTATGTTTGCGTGAAATCAGATAACTCAGTGCACCAGATTTTATTCAAATTTAATTTGCAAATGGCCTATTTAAGCCTAGACGCCTCAAACCTCTTTTCATAGCTCATGTTTACTTTGTAGCCGGGTTCATCTCCAGTTTTGCAAGTAGTTGCAAGGGGTTGACAATCGACACCATGTAAAAACACCCCGAAATTTGGGGCCAAATTTAAAGAGCGAGTAGAGTTGCCCGAGCAGCAGATTCAGTTCCCTGGAGCTGCTGGGCCTAAGCCTCTTGGACTAAAGTTTATAGAACTGAAGTCTGCAGAAACACTCAGACAGGAGGCCGCAATTTGAGACAAATTCTAAAGGCGTAAGTTGAAAACTCAAAATAATACTGAAGGTGGAAGTGTCATCAATGGTAGACTACCTTCCAGACGGAGGGTTGTTCGCAGTTCGATGATTCCCCGTCTCCGCAGAAGCGGTTGTACGTCATCTTGGGGTCAAAGCCAAGGATCTGTCTCTCCTCGTGGATGCGGAAGGAGAACGTAGACACGCCTGTCCCAATGAAATACCTGAGGCAATGGGGGGGGGGTGAGTAGAGGTTACCATTTCGATTGAGAATGAGAACCGGTGTATTTTAACCATGACAATATATGAGTGATTCACAAATTATTACTGAGTGTCTACCTCGAAAAAATTTTTTTTTTCTTTTTTTTCAAATTTCACATCTCGCACATGCTAGCATCTATTATCAATTGAATATGGGCAGGATGAAATGTACAAATATTGGAAGGGATTAAACAATATTTGGGACAATTTCGCGGAGAAAATGGACGCTTTGAACCCATCATTTGCAGTAATAGGTTAATTATGTTTTAGCCTTCAAAGATGGGTCTGTGCTGACCTAGCATGGGCGCATATCCACTGGTCTATGATGGCTACCCCGCCGTCTTTGAAGTTCTCCAGGATGCCTTTAGGAGGCAAGTAGTTGTACACCCGGTAGTCTTGGAGATGCCTTTTGAGTTCCTCAATTTCTGCGAGGCATTGAGAACAATGGAGTCATGAGACACTGGTCAGCTGGACGAAAAGAAGGAAAGTACTCATCCCGTCGGAAGACACTTCTCGTAGGGAAAAGGAAAATCACCACTGCATGTTGCAATATTGGTGATCGATTTCCACCTCTTATCATGAAAATCTCTAATGACCTATAGTTCCCTGAGGACGGCTGCGGTCCACTGGCCAAAACATTCACAAGACATTTGATTCAATGTGTGGACTCCTGTGCCTTCGGACACAATATTACCACCGGTGGAAAATGCTCCTTTAAATATGTGGGTGGTTAGGGGTCAAATTTCTTTTTGCGTATCCCTATTACATCAGACAAAAGGTTTCTCAATAATTATCTATGACTGCAAATGACACGCCAAATAAATAAAAATAGTTTTAAATCAATATCCATAATACTTCCATGTCAAATTACAAAGGTCAAGTGTAACGGGGAAAGAAGTAACATGTTCAGGCCCTATATTTGAGGAATGACCAATATGATACAACAAAGCTATGTGGACACAAATTTGTCCTCAAGATGAAATGTTGGACCTATGCTTGAAAACTCCTTTTTTTTGTCATTTGACAAACGTCTTTACAAGCGTGTTCAAAGATGACAGTTACCTACCATGTTTTGGTGCATCTGTAGCTATGAAAACCTTCTGGAGTTTGTGCTTTTTAAGGGCAGCCGTGATTTGTTCCGCAGCGCTCTGAAGCGACGGCACATCTTTCCTGTTGCCACGGGCGTAGTCCTCTCTTCGCAGGTGGGCAGCAAGGTAGGGCCCGCCGACAGCAGAGCCTGGCTTTCTCTGTCAAAGTCACAGGGGAATGTTTGTTTTCCCCCGGGAGCAGTGTCTTTTACTTACTTTTACTTGAACAGGAAATAAATTAAATGTGACCCCTGTGCAAGGCTGAAATCCAGTCTCCCGCAACGTCATTCACAAGTCATCCGGTCCTGTGTCACGTAACTGATTATTTTAAATTAGCTGCAAAGAAAGGTGCTTCTTTAGGACCATTAATTGTGTAACTCGGTGACGGAGCTTGTGATTTGACTCGTGATAAACTGGACTGCAACGCCAATCTTGTGCATCATCTTAGAGGGTGCTACAAAGCGAAGTCAAGAGAACCAAACAGTCTTCTGTTCCCACGCATCCTGAGTGTGTGCAACTGTAGCCTTTTAACCCCACAACTCCCTGACCTTGACAGTGCACCAGGAGGTTTGATGAGGACTTGAGAAGCCTAAGGAAGGTTGAGGCAGCTAATATGACTTACAGGGAGCTTGAAGGACCCTTGACAGATAACTGTCCTCAGTTTGCCATGACTTTTCTAGACAGTGATGGGCTCAAGAGAAGTTGGGAAAGGTCTTGGCAAAAAAGTTCCTGGGATGTTGGAAATGATGTCCAGTCTATAAATGTCAATTATGCAAGATGGCCGGTGCGTGATGGAAATTGATGCCGAGGCAGTAACATATTTCATCATCAATAACGTATTTTGTACAGGCTCCTCAAACTAAAGACATATTGGGATGGGTGGGTGTCAAGTTGACCCCCACACACAAGTTGGCGATTGCTGTTTGACAAAACTGAGAAAGCCAGGGCACTTGAAGCAGTACTAGCCCCTTTTGTTTGGAGGGGGCAAATTCGTTTTCAAATGAACAATTCTGGACAACTCTTTCAAAACAAACAATCCACATTTTGCCCACCCCCCTACTGAACCCTGGATGAGCCCCTGCTTCACGTCGCTTATAATTAAAGGCTCACTAACCTCCATGTCTCTCCAGTCTTCCAACAAGACGGTCTTGTCTTTCTTGTCCGTTGAATCCAGGTGACTTTCTCGGAACTGATTGCCAATGTCCCGCAGGTGTTTGGCAAATCGCATAGACCGCCTCGCCTATGAGCGGGGGAAAAACACAAACAAACTCACATAGCAACTCCCAGCATCTGTCAGGAATGAGTCAGTTGTGGTCAAGTTTACCCTGTTCCACAAATTTAGACCAAGAAAACAAAACAATCCATAACACCCACAGCCCACTGTGCTTTACGTTGTTGTTTGGGGAGTCAGGTTGGCAGGGTAGTTCTTTCCTTGCCTTCCACCTCTGTGGTCCCGGGTTCGAATCCCAGCCCGGTCCACATGTGGATTGGGTTTTCAGTCCCTACCTGACTCTGTGGGTTTTACCCAGAATATTCCTCTGGGGTTTTCCTCCCACCTCTAAAACTGTCACTGCTTCTTACTGTCTCCCCTTTACTGATGTTGGTGAATGTGGGTCGTTTGGCGGCTGCCCGAGGCACCCTTGTATGCCATCGGGTCAACCATGTTTAAATGTATTTATTGTTCCATGCTTAATGTCTTCATTGTACAGCGCATTTGAACATATCCATATGAAATTTGCGCTATTATTATTATATTATTATCATGGGGTAATCTGATAACAAAAGAGGTTCACCCCAAGTAGACTTTGAGGATATTCTATGGACATGATGTTTTCCTCTCAAAAAAACAGAGGAGGCATGTGGGGGTTAGAGTTATCAGTTACAGAATGAGGCAGAGTAACCAAGAAAATCATCCAAAAATCCTGCTTGAAGGACAGTTAATAGTGAGGGGAAAAGAGCATTTTCTCAGGGTTCCAACAACTGGGCAACAAAGGAATTCCCACACCAGATGGGTAAGACGGATATGTGTGCAGCACTGAAATTCCATGCCGAATGTTCAAAGCATGTGTATCCTTGGTGAATGCATAACCGCGACTGTCATTGGTCAAAACAGAGTGGGGCATGGCTTCAGGGATTGGTCAGCTGAGGGCTGGAATGTCCCAGAGACGTGGCTTCAGCAGATTATTTCATAGGCCTGAGGAGCAGGGGTAATAGTGATGTGCTAGAGTGTGTGCTGATGTACATGAGTGATCGGCCAAGGTTTTTCTTGTACAATGGAAAGTACACCTGCAGTTGGAAAAGGCTGGCCGTTGAGCTAATTCCCCACATAGAGGCTTTGCATGGTAGCCATCTTGCAGGGCAGTTCTTTTGTTCCACAGGGAAACCTCCTTTATGCATACCCTGTGGAACAAAAAGCACCAGCCAACAAGATGGCAGCCATGCAAACCCTCTATTCCAACATAAGTGAAAATGATGCGCAAGGGGTGAAGTACATGCATAATAATCAGACTGACTTGTTGAACCCAAAGAAAGCAACAATTTGTAACAATTGGCTCTTCCCCATTCTTGGCATCTCTCCAACTTGTTGTGGCCATTCTCCAAAATAAAGTCAATAAAGCTTCTTCAGCTCAACCTCAATAAATCAGCTTTTACATCGGAGAATATGAAAATAGGTTCGATCAACATGACTAATTTTCAAAACCAACTTCATGACCAAATTAAGAACATCAGCAAATTTTGAAGCATAAGTAACAGTTGAAACTTTGCATGGCGGAGGCTAGACTGAGGGAAGGTTTGTGGGTACATCACATGAAATCAATCTCTTCTTTGACAATGGTGGTTCAGAAAAGAACCAGTGAGTGTCAACTCGACAAATCAAGCAGCAGGGCTCAGGATGACCACAGCATCCTGGTCGAAACATTGAGTTGACACTCACCAGTTCTCCTCAGAGCCACCCTCTCATAGAAGAGATAGATTCCACACTGTGTACCCGCAAACTTTCTCTCAATTTTGAAGGATGGCCACTTACGTTCCAGTACTGCACCTGCCCATAGTAATCGTGCAGTATTTCTTCCCCACGATCAACAAACACAGATCTGAGAACAAGGAAAAAATGAATACCACCAGGGAGAACCCAAAAAGTTACTAAGAAGAAAGAAAGAACCACGCTGGTGCGGCCACATCCACTACAAAGTTCATTTGAGCCTGTTTTACACAGCTACTGAGTGACCACAGCAATGTGGTAAACATGGAAAATATTTGCTTAGTTACTTGGTTACCAGCCGAGGTGCCACAGGATGTGTATTGCTTTTTGACTGGTACCCTGATGATATTTTCTTGGTGCATGAGTTTGCTAAACAGTACTTTCCCAAACGTTGTATGGGAGTGGTGGCTCCAACGAAGGCAAGACAAAAACATGGCTTGAGAGCCACGGTCTTGGGCAAAACATTATTTTTCTGTTAATTAACAGAAAGGGGAGAGTAGTGGGGGATATTCATTCCCAACTCAAACTGGGAGAACAAGTTTATCTTGAAGCAAACTTGATTACTCAAGAAAAGGGGAATGCTCAAATATTTTTGTCCAAGACCGCAGCTGTGCAAACAGATGTCAACTTACAGCCCAGTAGGTGGCATCACCAAATCGGTCATGGAGAAGTTTCTCAGCCCTATCTACAAAGACAGACCTAGGCACAAACAAAGGGTTCATCCTTGAGCTTACTTCAGGCACTCTGTATCCCCTAGACATACTTCATTACATCGGGATGATCTGCAGAGTTTCTCTGCGCTCAATGTGATCGCCAGATTCTTTTATTTTTTCAGAATCTTAAAAAAATGACTGGCACTATTACTTCACGTGAAAACACTGAAGTGCACTGGTGACTGTAAAACAGTGCAGCGAATGATGGAATGCATGAAAAACTGCACTGATAACAAGTCTTTCTGCACTGTACTTCATGTGACGACATAATGGGTTTGTGCTCATCGAGTTGAAAATTGGTTGTGCATTATCTGCACAATCCACTTATGTGTGAACACTGCCCTTGGCTCAGTGTGATTAAAAAATGCTCATGAGCAAATCTATTTCAAACAAAAAGAAGTTTGCAGAACAATTCAGAAAGCAACAACCAAGAAACTGGAAAATTTAATGAAATTGCCTGGAATATTTTTTTATGTCTGCTGAGAGCCCAACTAGGAATCATTCAAACTCCCTCTCTATGGAGAATGTAATGGTGCATCCTTACAACATTCATATTTTTCAATATGCTTCTAGCAATTGTCGTTGTGCTGAATTTTTCTCAAGCCTTCAAAATACTCCCAACCCACTGATGGATTCTAATGGACCTGTAACTCCTGGCAGATGGTGTTATTCTTGGCAGAAAATTCTGACCTTCAAAAAAAGGCAAGACGAAGCAACCAACTTTTGATATACAGGTACAGTCAAACGCCACAAATATTGATTTGCGAGTGTCCCTTGAAAAATATTTGTACGATAATTCTACTGCAGCCTCATATTTGTCAGCACTCTGGGACAATCCCGTGGCGCGATATTTGTGACGATAACAGGTCACGCGACAGTGGCCAAGTTCAGTGCACAGTCCACCTCTACAAACTTCCCAGGCTTTGGGTCTGTACAGAAGAAATTGGAGATTAGCATGTTCTGATGTCAGGCAGAAGCGAGTCCAGCTGTACTTGCTGTTTTAATCTATTCATTGTGCCTGTGTAAACAGACGAGTCGATCATTTTTTGCACACGGTGATTTTAAGGGGAGACCAACGTACCTGGCTGTGTAGTTGTTTAACAGCACAGGAGCCAGGATGCGGGCCATCCCTTGAACGGACAAACACTTGAAGGCCTTGGCGTAGGTGTCCGAGTGGCCCCAGAACCAGCCCCGGTACATCCCTTCCTCGTCCGGTCGGTAGGCGGGCGGCTCAATGCATTCTCGCTCGTCAATCTTCTCTTCCCACTTGCCGTTGGTCCATCCCTCCTTGTAGGGCTGGAGATACAGAATCTGGTCGATGACCGCCCGGCCAGTTTCTAACAAAGTGGGCGAAGCAAACAAGTTTCGGTTTCAGGAGAAGCACTTTGGGACTAGCGGAAGCAAGTTCTTGTTCAAAATTTGTTCATCAATCTGATGGTACAAGAACCCTCCAAAGTTTGTACTTCACAAGGCGATTTTTAGGTCTCAGGTTAATCTTCAGCCGGTGAGCGAAACAAAGCAAATTTAGTTTTAAGCACAGTCCTGGACGGTCTGATATCAAACTAACTATTTAGGGGTGAAATGCTAAATTATGGCCTCGTTTCCAATTTCACCACCTGGCTTCATTTTAATCAGTATGTTTAGGCCATCAAGTTTGGTACCGTTCCATTTTCCTGCGTCAGCCACAGGGCATTGTCTAACATTGAGTCAACGTTTGGAGCACTTTAATTAGGTTTAACTGTTTGCAACTGATTGTAAAGTTGCCCAGTGACAAAACAAGTTTTTAAAAAAGGCTACTGTACAAAGATTGAGCGATTGCACTGATATCGATCGATCTCACCCAACAGGCGCCTACTCTTACACTGTCTAGAGTTTTTTCATCACTCACAAATACCGTGGTACCTTTAACATACTGCTCAAACTCGATGACGGGTACGTAACGGTTCAGGCTCTCAGTGTCAAAGAAGGTGCCCCAGGGTATCCTGATCTGCTCCAGTGAGCGCGTCCGCCAGTGGTAGAGCCGGCCCCAGGGGGGCAGGACCAGGACCCAGTCACCGTCCTGCTGCAGTCTCTGGACCAGGTTGGCAATGCGCATGTAGACGTCACGTCGCAGGTTAAACCCTTCCCCGTGGTTGACATCGTAAAGTAAATATCTAAGATGGGGAAAGGTTGAAACACAGAAGTAAATGAATTTGAACTTGTGACTTCATAAGGTGAAGAAGTCAGGTTGGCACAAATATGATATTATTGAAATTTTCCTAATCTTGCTCCACACTGTGACCCGGCTTCAAATCCTACCATGGTTAATTGGAGACTGCCTGTATAAGAAACTCCCAGGAGGTTGACTGGACATCAGCCACTAGGCGTCATCATCCAGTTTAAACACAAAGATTGGTGTTGAGTCAATGGGCCTACATCATTTTGTGGCTTCTCACTGTCCATGCATGGAATATGTATCTGTGATTTCCCTAAAAGCTCCAAAATCTCGAGACGTTTCTTTTAGCTTTCAAGCTGCACTGTCAGATGTACTTTTGAGGAATCCTTGATTTCACTCTCAAGTACAGTTTGCGTTGAGTACGGCTTCACAGTCACTTTGCCCTTAGCCTTTCATCAAGGCCTTCATGGCTGTGTGTGTGTGTAACTGCAAAGCGACTGGACAGGAGACCAGGCAAGTGGCGCAGCAACAAGGCCTTTTCCAACTTGATTTTGAGGCTTTTGTGGTAAATTATTCATAAGCTTTCTGATATGCATTATTCATAAATTTCATATAAATAGTTGAAGCAGATGAGTCTCCGAAATAAACGGCATCAACTCCAAAGCTTACGCAATGTTCCCATCTGGTTTTTCATAGGGACAATAAGCAGTGAGATGACAACTATGATGCTTGTTGGTGGGGCCTGGGGATGGTGCTGATGTTGGAGTAACACTTGCAAGTAGCAGTTCGAATGGTCAAAGCAAAACCCCAGTGTTTGAAATATGAAGCTCTTACCATATCCCGTGGGCAGAGAAAAAAACGTCACGCCTGCGTACAGATACTTCAATAGCCTAATGCTGCAATGGTTTAAACTTGGCAAGGTGAACTTTTCCAGCAGAAGAACTGTCCAAATACTGCTCAGACAACTGACCTGCACTCACGGCCGCAGACACACTTGGCACGCTCGCCATCTTTCGCATAGGTTCAATTTGCATAATAAGTTAACCACTTCGTGTCGGGGCATTTTTCAATGTTGAGGATGCTATGTACATAGAATAGCCTGTTCAGGAAGTAGGCCTTGGTGCCCCCTTTTTTATAGCTCCATCATGTCCATGGTTATACAAACCTCCTTGGCAGTGCTGCTCCAACTTTAAGCTTCTGATAGTTTCCTGAGTGAAAGGCAATGTCATCTGACAAATCGACATCCAATTCTGAGGAAGAATATATCTTAAACAGGTGAAAAAACAAGAACAGGACAACACAAACAGCGGGGTACCTGTGCGCCGCCATGTCTAAATAGCGCCGCCTAGCGACGTGACAGCCAAATATTTTTTGCTTCCTTGCACCACCCAGTTCAACCTGGCCCGCCACTTGTGGCGCTGTGCGCTTCGTATATATAAAAGCATTAAACTTTTCAACCTAAAATACAAACAATACCTCAGCCGAATGGCCGTATTAACCCGGAAAACCTTTATGTTGTTATCGTTATTTCGGCACCGGCTGGTGCTTCCGACTATTTGTTTGAAAGAGAGAAAATTCCACGAAGGATGCATTGAAATAATAGACCGACATCAATTAAATCATGTTTGCAGCTTCCTGCTTACTGAAGGTTATTCCCCTATCGGCAAAAATAGTGAACTCATTTCAACAAAAACAAACATCCTGTATGATGTCCATTCACAGTGATAGTCTCTGATCTGTGTTCGATTGAACGAGAATGGCCCGTTCTTTTTTTTTTAACCTTAACCCTCAAAGAACTGGGTTATTTCATGTATTTCGGCCCATCTCACAGCCCACGGGGGCGCATTCCGCCCCCCCCCGAACTTGGCTGTGCCAAGCTCGATTTATTATTTTGCTTTGGAACTTGGCATGCATGTAAGCCTTTATCGTAACATGTGACATTTAAACTAAACCAGACGTGTGGCTTTGTTGTTATACGGTCATTTGAAATTCAAGCCAACCCCCCCAAAAAAGGCTCTAGGACCGCGCCTGACAACAGTATGTTTGATTTTCACTAAGTTGGTATTAAAATGACCGCAATTGAGAGTTCCTCTAAAAACTTCTATAGGCTCAGCTCCGGGAGAAAAACTATTCCAGCGGCACTTTTAGGGTTAAAAACACATTTAAAACTTTGCACTTTGGTTGGTGCAGTGATCGAGTGAGGAGCCGATCGATTGCTCTGAAAACTCAAACCAAAATCACCAAAAACTTTGAATGAAAATCAGCGGCTGGTATTGAAAGAGGGATGTACAGGTCCAGATTGAATGTTCTCTGAACCCCAGAGAGTGAAAATTCACTTCCTCCGGTTATAAACAGGGTCAAGACGAATTCAACTGAAATGAATCAGTCGAAAGATTGAAATTTCACTGGAATCTCCCCAGGGAGTTTTTTTTTGGTTTTTTATTTTATTATTATTTTTGTTGTTGTTGTTGTTTTTTTTTTTGGAACGGCCTGCAACAAAACCATAGCTGGCTATGCATCTGTACTGTCACATTTTTCCTGTAACCCCAACATGACCGCGACGCACAGTGAGACCGTTGTGCTTGCCAGCGACGAGATTTTGTCCCGTTGTGACGACTTCCGGTGAAGATTTAGTGGTTTTGGAGTTCACATTATCATTTTTGATTAGGTGCATCGTGTTCATATCAAATCGTAGAAAACCAAACAAGCGCCGTGCTTTGCCAGGACTACGCTGCAGTTTCAACGAAGGAAGTGACAGACTTGTTTCCAAAGAAAGGTTCAGCATAGCTGCCCCAGAGTTCCTTGAGCTCGCGTTGTATTCAGTTGCTTCCGAGTTGTATACGGATGAAACCGGCCTTGTAAACTTTAGTTTTAAATTAAATGCAGCGATAATGATCATGCCGTGTGGGAGGCATGTGGCCTAGTGATTAGAGTTTGAAGCTGCTGATCATAGGGTCAGGGGTTCGAATCCAGCTGGTTGGCAGCATGTTGCGATCATGGGCAAGTCATTATCCCTGTGTGCCTCTCTCCACCCAGGAGTAAATGGGGTACCTGTGAGGGCAGACACGGTTTTTGCCGAAATAGCAGCACCGGGCTATATTCCCCAGGGGAGCCAAGGAATGGAATTGGAATGTTCAGATAATGTGTGAGCCCCATGTGCAGGGATAATGATATTATTATAGTTTATACATTCTTTACAGCAGGCTAACACCGGCAAGCCGGAGTTATTCGAGATAGCTCCACAACTTTGCTCATTATGTCTGTGATTAAGACCATACAGCCAGCTTGCTTCGGCAGATTAACTTCACCTGTCATAAGCCTACCCACCGATATCTATTGTAAAGTCTTTATGGCGGAGATCGGTGGTTCTATCGAGTATTCCGTCTGTATTTCTGACGCCCGCGTCTGCGCATCTATTCATATTCATAGCCATGTCCATTAAAAAAGTACATATACAGCCTATGTCGACACATGGAGGCCTATCGAATATCTACGGAATAAAATCCGCCTCTCAATTAGTAAACATTTTTGTCCCTTCGAGAAAGGTAAGCAATTTTTCACTCCTTTTATCTCCCTTAATTCATAAATAGGCCCATTAAATCTTCTATATGGTGTTGGCACAGCCACCTTGTTCCACAGGGAAACCTCCTTTGTGCATACCCTCCTGAACCCAAACAGTGGCCTGCAAGATGGCAGCCATGCGAAACCAGGCTCTGAACAAAAATCTGACACATGCAAGGTGTAAATCGACAGAATATGGCTGATTGTCAGGACTGCATTTTTTGGAATTGATTTATTCATGTTTATTCAGGAAGAGGTTTGATGGCTGGTAGACAACCCTACAACCGGCTGGAGGAAGAACGCAATGAAACTGCAACTCCTACAAGCAGTCCGGACCACACCCACACACAGGCCACGCCAACAATCCCGGGGGATTCATGTCCCAGCAGGCGTCTGTACTGGCACTGTCCACCAAGGATGTAAGTCCTCCTGCAAATATTAACCCTACATAATTATATTCCCCTCATAATTTCCCTCAAACTCAAAACCCTACCCTTTCTTTGACAACATGAACCCTACAGTTTCCGAGCAAGAAGTCACAGTCATCTACCAAGGTGAAGTTAAAGTTAAAATGTAGCTCCCCCTTTTATCTTATGATCAGGGATCCAAAATTTACATTCCCTCAAAAAACAAGCCAAAACAAAAGGGCAGCAGTTGCGGCAGAGGTAATACTGTACATCTATCTATTGATCTAACAGCTGCAGAAGAGGGGAAGGAATTGCAACCCGTACCGCCACGCCCCTTCAATAATAATCACAGAACGGCAACAAAATGTTTATTTCACAGACAACTTTACATACATACCGAATTTGTCGACGGAAAGGGGGGGGGGTAGACAAGTTGACACTATCCACAAAATGTTATTTATACCCTCCCCTTCTCCCAGACCACTCAGACGAAAGCGGGGGTACCACGCCTTGACTGTTTCCAATGTCGACGTTGCAACCTACGCAGCACGAGCCCGGCAAGTAGGGCCCGGAGGAGAAACGGTCATCGTCTAACCTCCGTGACGGGAAGGACGCCCCCTGTCAATAGTTAGAAACTATTCAACCAAGGAGAAAGTTGGCTTTAAAGAAACTAGAATGACACTGTCGTTGTGTATTTAAAGAAAACAAGATTTCATTATAAGGCCAAAATGCAAATATACATGTATTTGTTAGTATTATATTAATATTTGTTTTGTCGGACAGTGGTAATTGGAACGAATTAGTTTCGTTTGAAAGACAGTTCAAGGTGTACAGTTTGATTCTATTCCAGAGGTATCAGTGGGTAATTATTTTACGGGAAATGGTCAAAATGTGGTTGATTCCAGTTCGGAGGAAATACGTTATTCCAACGCATAATAAATTGAACAAATGCTGCATGTGGGAATAATGTTTTATTTTTGGTTTTTGGGTTTGCCACTTTTTCCCATCAAAGCCTCGCATTTTTAGAATCATGTACATGCTGCCCTTTACGAGGAAGACCTGCTATTCGGGGAAATGTTTCACGGAACATGCTGCATGCAGTCAGCGCCCGTGCCCCCCCCCCTCTGCTGGTCCGGTCCGTGCGCGTACAGGGCCGGAACGAAAGCACAACATACATGTACATGTACATGTACATGTACTGTACATGTACGTGCAGCATGCACGCACAAGGCCCACACACAATGCCGGGACATGTCACCTTCGAAACTTTTACCGCTGCACGGGCAGGGTGTGTGAGGGGTGGAGTCGGGAGCCACCGAGTATACTATGGTGAGTCCATTTGAATAGTTCAGACTTATGAGTGAAGCATTTAGTTTTCGGTTTAAACTTGATGCTTTGAAAATAAACCTTACAGCCTACATGATTTGCCTAAAAATGCGCAATAGCCCTCATCACAATGTAAGAAAGAGAGTCACTTTCACTTGGTCGTAGTATTCGATACACTTTGTGGGTCACTGGCAGCGTAGATGGAGGGTAACGGGGTCATGCCATACCCTCTAAAACGCATTTATATAGGGAAATATAACGAGATTAAGACGATTTTTTTTTCTGGGGGAGGGGTGCTGTATTTAGTTTACCTTCACTCCGAAACGTGTCGAAGGCCCAAATGTATTCCCTTTCCTCTAAGAAAATTATACAGAACACAAATAAACAATTATGGAAAATAAAAGAACACAGAGAAATCCCCAAATAGCAACCCGTTTAAGTTTCGAAAAAAAAAAATTAAGGATGAATTGATTTCCCCCATGACTTTAAACGTGATCGATTGACGTCAGAAGTCTAGTGGGGCCATCAACAGAGACACCTCGCACTGTGTTCTTTCGATTCATGAGTAGAGAGAAAGAAGAAAAAAAAACAGGAACTGTCTACGCATCAGAGTTGCTTTTTCGCTCTGTTAATTTTCTATGGAAAGAAAACAAAGAGACTTGTTTATGATCGCACCGAGACGAAAAGCCCTCATGCATACGCACTGTATGCCCCCTGCATTGTATATAAAGTAGTAAAATGAAACACTAAAACCTTTCTATTCTAATTATAATCACAGCTTGATGATTTGAGGCCTCTCCACTAGAACAAAAGACGAAAAGGGTAACCTGGGACGGCTAATAACACAAACAGATGCACGGTTCTGAGCAAGCAGATACACTACAAAAGAAACAAATTATAAACACAATTATAATTACTTAATTCTGTTAACTAATATATCAAAATAATGAAACAACTCCCATAAGTGTAGTAACGGCAGGGTGAACATTTTTTTTGTATCTTACCCTCCCCTGATTCAATGCCATCAACCGAAATTAGTATATCACCGATGGATCATGTTTGCAAAATAGGTTTTCCCGAGCATCAAATTATTTATTCATTTTTTTTTCAAATTCATAATCGGTACAAACGTCAAATTTGTCTTTTTTTAAAAGACCGACCATCCCAAACGATCGATGGTCCATCTTTTTCAACATACGTCCTGTCGATTTCGTCAGATTTTAGTAGAATTTGTGTATCATGTTATAATTGGCGCTAATTGTGCTGCTGGATGAACAAATAAAAATAATAAATATTAGCTCGTCTTTGCTGGGCCGATTTCAAGAATGTACAGATCAAATTAATTGCATTGTGTGATGAATAAAATTGTCGGAGAACTAAAATGGACTGACAAATACTAGATATGGACAAGATTCTAATATAAAAGTACGGCGGGTAAACAGGGAACACGTTTTACAGACAAACAGTAATAAAGAGATAAACAGCAGAACACGTAAAATGCTGAAGATAGTACACAATGAAGCGCGTGACGAATTTAAATGATATTTGTATAACGTTGCAAAATCACAAAATAATGGACGAAAAAGTAAACTAAAGCACAAAATGAGCCAACCAAATTCAAAATTAACTGTGGGTTATAAAAGATCACGAATTTTGGAGACGGATGTGAAGTTGAATGTTTAAGAATTTGGACGAAAAAAGTATGAAACTTTGCAGGGCAGAAATGTGGGGAAGGAAGTTGGAAAACTTCTCGACCTGCGAGGATTACTTTGTTTCTCGGGCTGTAAAATAATTAATAGTGGGCCAACTTCGCAGTTCAAGTTGTACTTAAAATCGGTGACAATGCATATGGGTACTTGGAATCAGAAAGTCTAGTTCAGATGTGGTCGTTGCATGAGATGTTAAATCGTGATCTGCGTAGAAACCACAGGCGTAAACCCATGTGGGGATGATATGGTGTCTATGCTCCTACCCACTTGAGGAGGGGGGTGTGGAAGGGGAGGGCTTCTGAAATGACCACTGCCCCCACTTTCTGTGGTGAGCACAAAATGAAAGTGGATTTTGAAGAATATTTCTGATTTTCAACGACTAAAATGCATTCAATATCACGCAAATAAGGAAAAACAAATTAAAAAGTCATAAATACAACATTCTGAATACGTATCACAGATAATATTACATTATTAATTATTGTGAACATCGACATCTATATAGTGTCATATCGTCCCCCCTCCGTTTGAAAGTTTCACGTCATCCCCCATATTTCCTTATCTCCCGTCCCCCCCCCCCATTTCCGGGACAAATTTACGCCACTCGTAGAGATCAGTTTCTCTAAAAATAACCTATTTTTTGTGAATGAAACTTATTCCTGGAGAACGTAATGAATAAAACATGATTTCCAGGTACGTTAGAACTTGTAGTCTGGTTCGCTTAAAACCATTGTTCAAAAGGTCAGGTACACCAGACCGTTGCATTCCTCCATTTAAAACTCACGGCGATTGGATGATTTTTAGCGCATAAAAACCAGTTACAATTTTTGGCCAATAGAAATTCTCGGAACACACTTATTAGTGGTGGCGTCACAGGCGGAAGTCTAGTTTCGATATGGCAGTGACTCCTGCTACATGAATTTCTGAGAAACAGCCAACTCGAATGGCAACAACAATCTTCATTCTTACGAATTCTGACTCATTCATCGGTTCCATTCAATCTCAGCAAGAAACACCAACTACCAAGGAGTAGGTGAGTATCTTTTGATTGCCATCCATGGTGAAATTGTTCGTTGTTAGGGTTGAACTGGAGCGTCATATCAAATGGATCGTGGCAGTGTGAGCTGCGAAAAATGGTGCAACATCCATAGAGCAAGCACTTGAAGAACACTTGCCTTATGAACATCCGAAGCCTAGGCCAGCAATAACCTGCTCCCATGTCCCCATGTTCCATTCTGTGGTCATGCCATAGAGATGGGCCATATCCAACTACCCGTAGACTTGAGACAAGCTAGTGTACGTGTGTACGTGAACACAATCTGACAAATCTTTGCAAAGAAGGATTTTTTTTGGTCATGTTCGTGGGCAGCATTTCAGTTATGTCAGTCAGCCATAAAAATTGTATTTAAGGCTAAGCATACATCCTGAACTCCACCTTTTTGATGGTTCCGCACGCTATGGCGTTTTGAAAGCTGCTCAGTCATCCTACTAGATAAAACATCCGTTTGGCGCTTGCTTAAGCAAATCTTCCCCTAAAGACCCAATTACGAACCTATATGGAACTACCATTATTGAGTGTATTTCGTAACGTTATCCTATATTTTGTCAAAATATGATTTTTTTTCCTACCATCCTCATCTCTTATCCCTTGACAATTGGCACACATCTGCATTCTCTTGCGGTCATAGCCGACTATTTACCGTCAATATACCGTCAGCTCACAATGGACTGTCAACACACCGTCAACACAGCGTCAACACCTCCAAAACAAAAGAAGTGGTACTCGACTGTAAAGTGTTTGCAGAAAGGATATTTTGGCTAAACCCCAACAGGTTGGACTCAGGAAAATTGCCGTTTTAATTTGACCAAATGCCTCCTTTGAACCAGTTCAGAAATAAGCAGGCATGTTGCCTCAGGGGCAACTGGGACCATACCTTTATGCTAGAGGGGTGGTGATATTATATGATAAAGAAACGTCTTTTTCTTTAAAGTTACCGTATTTTTATATTTCTTAAGATTAAATTATTGTTCCTTTTTGTATTTTGACAATAACTGTGTTAAATGATATCTATGATGTTGTTTCTGTTTGACGCTATGCTGACATTACTATCGTGTGTTGACGGTAATTAGTAAGACCGTTCTCTTGTCGCCGTACGACACGTGACTAAAACGGGCTCAGCGTATTCACGTAATGAAGGTGCCCTGGATACCAGTCCCAATAATTCTGACTACTCTCATCAAGATTATGTATAGAGACGTTTGGGAAATCTGTGGTCAGGGAACCACACTAATCACATATATCGGCTTGACCATTTTGCAATAAATAAATCCCACAATTACATGGAAAAACAGATAGTTTATCAGTCTTACAGCTTCACTACCAAATCTTGGCAAAATATTATCACTCCTTAAATACACATTTCTCAACATTTTAAACATGCGTAAACAGCTAGCTTGACAACGCAGCATGTATAGCACGCCCTGACATTGCCGCACCCCCCCCCGCTTCTAAAATGGTTGAGCTGATATGTGATCAGTGTGGTTCCCTGACCACAGATTTCCCAGACGTCTCTATACGTAATCGTAACGAGAGTAGTCGGAACGATAGCGACTGGTATCCAAAGCAACATAAGCAGTCATTGCGTGAATACGCTGCACCTGTTTTTGTCAGGTAACGTACGGCTACAAGAGAATGCAGATGTGTGCGGATCATCAAGGGATAAGAGGTGAGGATGGTAGAAAAACCTCATTTTTTGCCAATAATATAGGTTATATGCTAAAAAATACACTTGCCAATGGTAGTTCCTTATAGGTTAGCTAATATTAAGCAAGCGCAAACAGATGTTTTATCTGGTAGGATGACTGGGCAGCTTTTAAAATGCCATAGCGTGGGGGACTATCAAAAAGGTGGAGTGCAGTAAGATCTATGGAGTGTCTGAGTGTCTGGACATGCTACCTTGCTGGACTAGTCTTGCTAGTCCAGGAACTAGGCACGGATGCAGGCTAGTTGATGAACTTGATGTTGGAGACGGTTTACTGACTTGACTTGGGACAACTTGACTGTTGAGACAACTTGATTGGTGGGACAACTTCTTTTTCTCGGTACATAACAACAGATTCACTGAATCCATGTATAACCACGGGAGAATACTTAAGAAGAAGAAGATCCTGTCCCTGGATCTGATAAACTCGAGAACCTGATCCCCAAAAGAGCTGATTGAAATCGTGGAGACAGTGAGACTATTGTATCAGGAAGCCTGCTCCAATCTCTACAAGTTTTGCACACAAAGGAAT